TTATCACAACCCAACTTGATAAGACCCAGAGACTATATAGGTCCTATTGTGTTGGTTTGCAATAGGCAAATTCTGGAATCTAAGTTTTGAAAAATTTTAATTTTTTTCTAATTTAAACATTAAAACTAATGACAAATAATAGAGTTATTAATAACATTAAGGATACTAAAAATAAATTCATCCATAAAATTCTCATTTCATTTATCATCAATACACACACACACAAACACTACAACACATGACTATTGATAAGAATGCATAACATAATAGAATAACAACTAGTCATGATTGTACAAAAGTCAAAAGAAAGAAATACCTAAATATACTCAGATTAGATCCTAATATTGTTACTCAACTGGCCATTTTCTTCTCTCAGACCTTGAAAACATAAGGTGAATAATTATGAGCTAAGATAGCTCAACAAGTCACAATTCTTGATCTAAATTTCAAAATAATTCATTTATCAAATGTGCAGCTGAGTTCAAAATAATTTATATTAAATCACTATGTTGATCAAGATCGTACTTGTAATTATTAGGAAACTTATATAGCATTGTAGGAAATTAAATAAACAAACAATTCATATATTAAAATAAAAAGTAACAATTTCTCCTCAAGCCCTTATGCCTCATAATATTAGCACCATCATAGAATATCCATATAGCACCATAACATACTCGTAGGCACTAGAACATACCCGTAAGAACTAGACCATGCCCATAAGCACTAGAATATGCTCGTATGCACCAAAACATGCCCGTATGCACCAAAAAAAACTTCTTCCATCATCACTAAATTTCCTCAAAATCACATATTTAAATCAATTAAACATATAATTCACTGCATTACAGTGACTAAAACATAAACAAAATTCATTTCAAAATTTCACGCAATGCTATAACTATAGGCAGCTAAATATACTATTGTATAAAAATCTACTATTTCATAATACAACAAAATTACCAAATATATGTAAAATACTATTTTAATGAATGGTCAACTATTAATGGAATCAACATAGGCCATCCAATAGAGTATTTGGAGATTTTCCTAAAATAACTAAAATGGCAATCAAATTAATTATAAATAAATATATATTTTTCATAAGAAGGAAACTTAAACCGATGTTGGAGAGGGCCCTACCTAATGATCAAAGTTGATGTTTGTTATTACCAATTATAGTCATCCGATCATAATTGTATGACTATTATTGCCTGACTAATATTACTTAATTACCATTGCTAGACTATCAACTCTCAATCACCATTCCCTGACTCATCGAACTACTACTATCGCCCATCCATTTTCACTTGATTATCATTGCATGACTTCATTGCTTGTGTCTAACAATTTCGACACACATTATCATCAATAAGATTGATGCACGTCATTGATATCAACATCAACATACGCTATCGCCAATAAGGTCGTTGCATGTGACACCGTCACTAATGCACATCGGCTTTATTGTCACCATTGTCAATAAAGCTGTTGAACATCATCGATGACAACGCCGACCCACACTATCGCCAAAAAGGTTTATGCACATTGTCGACGCCAACACTAATGCATGTAATCACCAATAATACTTATGTATATTTTTGAAACCAACGTCAACATTTTCCATTACCTATAGATGGATGCCAACCCTCAACGCAAGTGTCAAGGCCTGCAAGCCTTATATTAAAATTCTTAGTCTAAGATCTCCCACCTCTAAGGACAACCACATATATTATCAATAATCTCTTAAGACAACTCCAACATCTTAAGATGCCTCTAACTACAATCATAAAAGCCATCTTCCAAAATTTATGTCCCCTACATTATATCAATATCATTCCTATTTGTAGAGAAGGGCATCATTTGTAACCCATAAAAAATTATTTCTCATATGAGTTGCTCCCAATTTAATTTATTTGCGTTATCTATTGTATAATACTAAGATAATAAATTCTCTCACTATTGTTTTTTAAAGTTGCAGCACATAATAAGATTAAAATAAAAATATTACAGACAAATAAAAAGAGAAAAGGGGCCTAAAAGTGAGGATCTTCCTTGGTGAAACTACAAGAAAACTAGGCTGTACATCAAGCAAAACTCAATTGTTTCTTCATTTTGTTTGATCTTCATCAATCTCTCTGGCAAATTATACATCTGCAATATATATGGAGCATTCTTATATTTGTTAGATGATAACGTTAGTTCACCAACAAAGTCTATAAACACTTCAGAAAGATTTGAGTGTAAAACTCTTTTTATGGTGCTCTAATCTTAGCATAGATGCTCTTTCACTTGTAAAAAAGATATTATACTAGTTTATCAACAGTTTCAAGATGAAGTGGGGGACTAATCTGCTGGGGGCTTAAGCGTATGAAAGACAAACTCCATAAAAAAAATTATTGTATTTGCTCTTTAGTATATATTTTCAGTTGCTTTGTAGCGTATTCACATGGTGATTCATGCATTAAGCACTTTCGTATGCTTCTGTTTGTTGATTTGACTGGGTTAACTATGCTTAATTGTTGAATTACTTGTTAACACCATCATTATGTGTGTTGTCACTAGTATATTTGTGTGTCTTAGGTGTTAGGTGATCAAGTGAATAGAGCTACCATGGTTTAAAGATTTACCTTGTGTTTATTAGTTGCTCAAATACTTAGATTATTTTCCCTCAAAACATCAGCTAGGATTGCAGCTTGATCTCCCAGGTGGTTGCTGTATGCTTGAGCTCGTATGTCATAAGTTTCACCTTCTTTTCCTCTGGTATATTCATGAACACACAATTAATCCAATCAAAACATTCTTCAATGTGCATGCGACAATCCAAACAGAGTACATCAAGTTTGAGCTTGCATTCCTGATGACATTGGATCTGTGGATGTGAGCTGTGTACAAACCATGGCTCACCAAAAATACCATGCCGCCACTTCGTCGCATGTATCCAGTTTGGGAACTACTTGCCTCTAAGGTTGCTAACGAGAACCATCATAACAGACACTAGAGGAATTATCAGGCAGCTTATCTTGCTGCTCTCCGTTGAACGACAAATTATTCTGTGGAGTCCGTACATCGTCCAGAGGCCAATAAAAATGCACCACATCACTCCAAAAGTGTACCGAGCATCGGTACCGTGCTCAGTACCAAGCAGTACCGGACAATTCTCCCATCCGGTGTCCCCACATAATAGTCTTTCCCGTTGAACATATGCTTTCCTTGGGATGCTTACCAAACATCATGTTATTGTAGTTGATGCTATTGATTGACCATTTCAACCTCAAGAGGCTACAGAATGGTGCTTGTTCAGCCTCACATGATAAGGATAATCTGTGCATGTCCAAATAAAAGTTCCAAACATATCATCTAATGTTCAGAGGCATGCCCAAAGGGCCTTCACCGGTGTCCACGTCATGATAATTTTCTCAGTCTACGCCAGCCATCGCACAGACAGGCGCTCTAGCTTTTATAGCAACTTTGGTGTAGTGAGAAGTTTAATGCACTGCAAGGTTAAAGATGGGTAACTCTCTCATTCAAGGGAGCAGGAAGAAGATGCAAAAACAATTTATTATCCTCTGCTCTCTACTTTATCAAATGTTGTAACACACTAAGCTATCTATGAACAACTTAAAAAGTTCTTTTGCAGAAAAAAAAAAGAGCATAATAAACTGAAAGAAATAACGAACTACAAAGAAAGAAATAGAGTGATAGAAGACTAAGTGGGCTACATCATCCTGCCTAGTGCTTCTTTGCATTTTGTTGAAAAGAAACCCATTTGATGGAATAATGTTTCTAGTTGATTGAATTAAAAAACAAGCAAAATAGAACACTTTAAATCAAATCAAAGCCTAGTTACGCTTGGGCTCTACGGCTTCAAGTCGCATTTAAACACATGTCAAGACCAACACAAATTAGTAGAAAAGTGAAGCAAGATTAATCTTCTAAACCCAAAGTCCCAAACTATATAATTCAAGGCAATGTATATTCGCCATTTTTAATGCTTTCACTTGACCAACAGTAAATACGTTTAGACAACACCGGAAACTTCCGTAGTAAGGATGATTCTGCTAATCCAAAAAACAAAATAAAACTTTGCAAATGATTCCTGAGAGTAACCTTCTTTTACTAGTTTTCATAAATAGAATCATTTTGGAGTAAAACATTAAGGCAAATAATGCATGTGGGTTTAGGGCTTAGAACTCTAAACTCTCGTACACATATGTGATGATGATGAACATAAAAAAAAAATAATAATAATAATAAAATAATAAATAAATAAATAAAGATGATGATGATGACATCATCATCATGGCCTCGTTTTCTATTCAACTTTTACGGCTTTCAGTCTATTATCCTTCCTACTGCTTCCAAACTAATTTGAACAATTTTAGCATACATACGTTCTTACCAATTTAAGCCCTGCGGAGAAGCAAGGCCTCTAATGCAAAATGAAATAGTCACACAACACAATAGCATATCTCAACCTATGAGGTAATCATTCGGTTGTTTTAAAAGGTTGAAAACATATTTCGAAATATAGAATTTTTAAAGGAAACAACTTAGACATTCATCTCTGTTTCTCTCTTCCAAAATTTTTTAAAATGCCTCAATATTGGTGAAAATATCCTGATAGGCAGATAGCAATATGATGCAAGACACAAGGTACTGGACAGTGTAATATTAACAAGTTGTACAAAGTAAGAAATAATGCAGTTCAATCTTAAAGGCCAGAGCCATAAAAATAAATAAGTAATAAGATCATACCTGTTTTAAACTCTGCAATCTTCCACTGAATTAAACAAGATTTCAGACCACTTGGACATCTGCTTCGGATGGCATTCTAGTAGCAAATATAATCAATTTAAACTGTCGAAGCTAAAAGAATAAAGCGCTTAGAATTCAGCGACCACTAAAATGATCTCTACCACATGCCCCTGAGACAATGTCGACGCTGAATAGCGCTTGAAAATCAGGCAGACAAAAATAGACAAGTGCAAATTCTAGAATATAAAAGGCACTAGTTCTCAGAATCTTGTATAATTAAAATGAAATCATTACATAACATATATCGGGTGATATGAAACCATCGTTGACCTATTGACGAGTTATTCAATGCAGGTCCAAAAAAGCATATCTACAAAGCTTCAAAGCATATTTACAATCCAGAGATTATATCTTTTTATATACATATAAACAAGGCATGGACCAATCAGATCACCATCATAAAGGTACTTACAAAGCTTGATATAAGGTTCAATGTTTCCAGAGACCCGAATTATTTTCCTCAAACCTTCTAAAACGGCTGCCCTGTCAATATATTCAGGACATAAACCCAAATCAAGCATTTTCACAAGAGTTTCTGAAGCATCCAAGTAATATCCACCTTTGAGATAACCTCTTAATAGCCATGATAAAGACTTCTTCCTATGTTCTGCATTTCTATCCTCAATGCCAGCAAGCAAACGGCGGACAGCACTGACTTCATTTTGTGAAGCACAAGTGGCCAAAACAGCATCGTAAAGTTCTTTATCTGGTTCCTTACCTAAGAGCTTCATTTGCCATATTTGCCGTTCAGCTTCAAGTCCAAAACCAGCACAAGCATACATAGCAAGAAGCCTCTCATAAACTAGTGATGAAATTCTGGAATTTCCCTCTTCGATTGCCCACTCTGACAAGCATGCAGCGTATCTTATGAGCTCTGACTGATAATTATTTATATGACCAATACTTTCACCATCAAGCTTAGCGATTTTACCAGCCGTTAATGAACCTTTCAACCTGCGTAAAGCTTTTGATAGCTCTTTCTGTTCTTTTACCAATGATGTAAGCGCAATCAGGTAACTGTAAACATCAGGTTTCAACCCACTCTCTTTGAACTCAATGACCATTTTCACTGCACCAATGTAGTTTCCATCCACCTGAGAGAAATTTGCAAGAACAGAGTTTGTTTAAAAAATAACCAAACCATGCTTAGTACTTGTGGCATCTTCCAACAAATAAATGAATAAAATTTCAATTAGAATTAACTTCAACGAGAAAGGAATCCGTATAACTACCGTTTTTTATTATTATCAGAGTTACTTCTTGCGGAACCCCAAATAGTTGGAAAAAGTCTCTTGATGATGATGATCTGAATTTCCAGTTAACTTAATTATGCAGGATGCATATTCTAGTTCTAAGCAAGTGCCCAAATAAAGAAAAGGAAAAAAAAAACAGACTAAATTTTCAAATAAGCATGCATATATTCAACCTGAAAGCAAGGCATAAGCTCGCACAACAAAAGGCAAGATTATAAACTATCCTATACAGTTCAAACTCAAAGAGCAAATGCAATATGCTTTATTATAGGAAATGGCATACTTCCACAAGGCAAAGGAAAATAAAAATAGAAACTTAACAAGCAACAACAGAGGCATGACACAAATGGTAAACAACACATCCAATAAGCTTAATAAATAAAGAAGAGTTTTTTCTCAGCAGGAGCTGTCTTGAAGGCTTGAGAACTTCAATTTCAAAAATTCTATAAGGTAATCAGATATCACAGCCTAGAAGTTAAGGTTAACATTTTACAAGCAGCACACTAGGGCTTCATTTGATTCCTCTAATTAACTTCTTGAAAAATAGATTTGATTTGTATAGAAAATATGATCACAATGATCATTTTGCATGTGCAAATTTTCAAAAACTTTCTGAGCATATAAAAAAAATTATAGAGCAACTCATACTTTACATGTGCACATTCTCTAAAACGTGCATGCCTATGTTTGGGTTGTTGGAGGAGTCCGGTGGGGAGTTTGGGGGAGGGGGAGGGTGCAGTTAGCTTGAGTTGGCAAGAAGATCACTATGTCATAAGAACATTAAGAAAAGATATCAAGACTTGTATTCAAGGAATGTTCGATTTTGAAAATGTATTTTCTTCCTCAATATTTGGCTGAAAGGTTAGCAAAATTGAAAAAGACCATGTATTACCTAGCAACTCTTGTGAGGGCGATACTTGAACAATTTTGAGGAATTAACCAACACAAAATAATTCTTTTCCTCTTAGCTTTAAAGTACTTGGTACATGCAAAAGTCTTTTTTCTTCTGTCTTTTTGTTTTAAGTCTGGTACTTGTGGAAGAGGAGGACTTTAATTTTAACTCTTGGCCTGCTCTTTTTTAGGCAAAGTATAATAACTTACAGCCTCTAGAGGATTTCTAAATAGGCTGTCTACGTGATTCAACCCTGCATCTCCTGAATACGCTGAGCAAACCTTGATTTATAAAGTGAAAGCCTTCACCATGGAACCATGCCCATTACCTTGTACGTTCCATAGAGATTTAAACCTTCAGTCTAAGAGGCAAACAAATAGATAATGAAAGGGTTCAATCAACACAAAAGACTTTCCATCCAAAAAATTCTAACTATTTAAAATTAAATATCTTATACAAATGTGAGCAGCGCAGCTGAAAATATTTTGGCTTAATCAAAAATGTAATTTATGTTGAATTAGAAAAAATTGCATTAACTAACAGATTTGACAATACAATTTTTAACAGAATGTATTATTACAGCAACTGGTCTTTATTAAAGCTGCTATCTGCTGCTAGAGCTGTTAACACTTTCTGTAGCTTCATCATCATAACCGCTCATCATTAACAGAATCACATCCTTTGATTTTTTACTTTCCATTATACTTGTCAGCTAGCCTTTCAGAAATATTTATATTGCAATACTGATTGCTGGCCCTGGGTTAATGTAATGAAATGATTTGATATTCTTCCTCAGCTTGTCTTTCCTCTTCTATTTCCTCTATTTTCCTTTTCTTACATTAGGTAGGTTCATCCAGTTTCTTTTTCTTACATTAGGAAGGTCCATCCAGTTTCTTTGTATTAGAGCTGTTTCCTAGTGGCATTCTTCTTCCCAGATCGATTTCACTGTTGCAGTGATACCCGGAACCTTAACTTCATCTTTGATGAACAATCTCAGCATTGAAGAGAGCCCACCAATCAAAACGAGAGATATTCCCATTCCACCTCAATTTAAATTTTGATGCTTAACATCAAAAACATTATTCACACTCACTTCACCACTGCAAATCACCCCACATGGAAGTCCCCAGTCCTTAAGCTATTTTATGAAAATGACTTTGATGATTTTCTAGATGGTTCAACTCTTTGCCCAACTGCAACCATGTGTGGAAACAATGGTGTATCTCAACAAAATCCACAATACAGATTGTGGATTATTATTGATCAAAATCTAGATGCATAATTGTATCCAACCATCTCCTCTCCAATCCTACCTTATGTTCTTACCCTCGATTCATCCTCGATGTTATCATACACTACCTACTCAAAAAGTCTTCAATTCAGCCATCAAGCTTTCAGGTCCGCAATACACTCAAAAGCTACAAAAAAAATTAGTTTAGATGATTTATATTCATTGATTTATATAAAGTATGTGTGAAATCTGATTGTGTCGAACAATCGGGTTGTACTGTTGCCACGGACCTCAACTCAGTTTATCATGCTCGCTTGGGGGGTGGGGGGGCTCCCCCGACTTAGGTTTGGGTGCTTCTCACAATTTTTTTTTGTACAACGCCTTGGCGCTGTGTATCAAAGCATTTGACACTACATAGTTCGCTTGGAGAAACAAAGAGCAAAGCGTTGCATCGCTCAGACAGACTCATTAATGAGGACATCCGACAATGGAGAATTTACTAGAGAAGAGGCCGGAGATCCATGGCCATGATTACACCACTTTATTTCTGAACTATTATTTGTATTTGATATATTATTGTATCTTTTTCGATTTTACCCTCACATGAGGGAATAGGTTCATGTGACCCCAGGGGACACTTTTGTCTTTTGGATTTACTATTGTATTTTGGTTATTTATAGCTCCCTCCTCTTCTATGGAGGAATGATGATCATTATTATGAAATTTCAGCACTTTGTTTGAGAGTTCTTGTGAGAACTTCGGTGAAGTTCCTAGGTGAGGGCATAACATTACCCATCAGCCACAGGAAGTGTCCGGGCCCATGGTCCTTCTCTTCTTCAAACTTCTCCTTGCCCTCTTCCCTAGCTGCCGCCCCCCTGTCTCCGTTCTCCTAGCCTCTGGCCTCCCTCTCCTCCTCCTAGCTACCGGCCTAAATCCCTCTCTCCCCCTCCTAACCACCAGCCCCAAGTTCCCCTTCCCTCCTCCTAGCCGCCGGCCCTAAAACCCTACCCATCCACCTAGCCACTGACCACATCAACCCCTCCTTTGCCTCCAAATTACAAATTCCAAATTGATACTTTCCATTTATAACTCATTTTAAATTAGGAAGGGTTTTAAATTCAGATTTTAATTTCTCCAATCTATTTGAATTTAAATTTCCTTTCTTAAAATAGGATGATTTAATTTAGGAAAGTCCCTCAAATCATACTTTATTTGAATTTTTAATAGGAGCTTATTTAAATACCCTTTCCTATTTTAAGATTTCAAATATAGGAATCCTTAACTCCTCAAATCAAACCCCCATGCCCATGCTAGCCGCCAACCCTACTCCCTCCCTCTTCCCTCTTTTGAAACTTGTCATAACACCTCCTTCCTTAAAGAATAATTTGCATTTGGCAAGTTCTTAAATCCCTCAATCAAATTCCCCTCATTCAATGCTAGCCGCCCCCTCCCTTCTCTTATTTCTTTTCTTATTTTCCAATCATTCTCCCATAATTAATTATTCACCCCCAAGTTTGGAGACAACTTCCTCCATCCTTGGGTCATCTTTCACCTCAAATTCCCCCACCTTTGATGTTGTTATTTGCTGTCCTTAACTCACCATAGTCAACCACCACCTTTCCTAACCCTAACCTCATTTATTCCAAGATTGAAACTTCATGTACTTGCTATCCAAGGTTGCCAAGACCTACAAGATTGCTGTCCAAAAATTTCCGAAAGGCCGCCCTACTGTCCTGCCATCTGAAAGATCTCCCTTTGCTGTCCAGAAGCTCCAGCACCCCATAGGTTGTTGTCCACTCATGAATGGCCGATCCGGAGCTTGATCACAGCTTCGTATTTGATGATCAAGGATTAATCGACATTCACCAATCTCCATTCTTCGACATAGGTCTTGAGAATGACCACTCTGTCGAAGAATACGTGGAACAAATTCTCTTCTCTCTTGCAAACGCTATTGATCAACGACAACCTCCCGTTCAGTTGCAATTCTCTTCCGAATCCTGATGAAGGTGAGCTCTCTTCCGAATTTTATTTCTTCTAGGTTTTCCTCAATTGTGGCATCATACAGATTATGCAAGCTTTCTCCGCCTAACCAATTATTAAGAGTGTGAGTGAGGAATCTTAATAGTGAATAGTCTAACTTTTAATCTAGGGATTTCCTTTGAAAACCACCACGTTCTGCAAAGCTTGATTTAAATTGATTATTTTGTGATCCTAACAATTATCTTGTAATTAATTGCCTAAGCTAATAATCTCTTTATTGTTTTCAGTCTTTCTTTTAAATCGTTAGAAGTTGAATAATTGTTCTTACTCTTCATCAAGCATGTAATTAATAATTAAACATCAACCTACGCATATAGTTCTACATCACTCATACATGCCAATGGCGTGAAATGGCGCGTTCCATGGTGCATGGCCCATCGCACATACGAAGCTATTTGCTTGGAACAGCGTGGTGCATCAAAATAGCGTGTGCTATTTGCGATATGCATGAGCAAGGTGAATGGCGCAAATGGTGTTCACTATTTTGTTAACATGGCATAAATTTCAAATTATAAATTATAATTATTTTTTAAGGTTTGTATATTAATATTATAATTAATTATTAATTAATTAAACATCAAATTAATAACATATCAAAAAAATTTAAAGGATTTACCTTTGTTGTAGGATTTAAAGCTGTCATTTTTGTAAATTGGCTGGATTTAATATGGGCTC